CTGAGGCCGGCGGGGAGTGGAGCCCCAGAAAGCCTAGTCCAGCTCTCCAGAACAGCAAGTCCCTTAGAAAACCAAGAAAGAGCTCCCTCCCGCCCTGGCACTCTCCAGGCCCCGCCCCGAGCTGGAATCCAGACGGCAAGCCAGGCTCCTCACACCTAGTCGGCCTCCAACTCAGGGAACGAGGACTTGAGCTTCAGTGGAAACGAGGCAGGGTCCACCTCACGCCACGCCACCCCCACCTCCAAGTCAGGTTCTGAGGAAGCCACTCCACACAGAGGGCTTTGCAGGTGACCAAGAGCCACCAGGCAAAACTCACATCTCCCTGCACAGATCCCTTCTTGGCCCGTCGGGGTGAGGTGTCTGCCTCCCCTGACCCCAAACACAGTGCGGTTCATTGGCGTAGCTGCCTCAAAATTCCTAATCACCATCCTTGTTTCTGCTCTTGGGTTTTGTTTTACAACATCTGCCCGATTCTCTCGTTGGTTAAGGAAGACCTTAAGCGCACATTTCTTCTTTCCATAGGACAGTCATGATTTAATCTTATTTGGGGAATTATCCTCTAGGAAACGGAAGAGCTCTCGGGCCGAGACGGAGTCCAGCTCACATCGTGGGGTCTTGGGCCCCAGCTCTGGATCCGAGGGCCTGGGCTCTGGACCCTCTCAGGCACCCTAGGTTGTCCTCACAGCCTCTCCTGTTCTCCATGCAGGGCCCAATCTGGCTCTCAGGCTGGCCTCCCACCAATGGGATTCCACCATGCAGTCCCGGGCTGGGCCCACCATCTGTAGGGTGTGGGGCATCCATGGGGCGATGTGTTCCCATTCGCGGCCGTCATCTCCTCCTTCCTCTTCCTCTCCCTGAGGGAGCCTTTGTTCGCATCCAGACACAGGCTCAGAGGAGACGCGACAAGCGTCCACACAGAGGTGTCCAGGGCCAGACTCCCCTCCCCAGGCCCCTGTCACTGGAGCTGATGTCAAGCCCCGCCCTTTGATCCATGCCAGTGCTAGGGACAGCCATCTGCTGCCTTGGGCTGGGGGTGAGGTTCAGTGTGTGAGGTCCTGGGTTTGATCCCCAGAACCACGAGAGAAAGAAAAGGGGGGGGACAGAGGGAAGGAGAGAAGAAGGAAGAAAGGAAGGGAGGGAAGGAGGAAGGGAGGGGAAGAAATTAAATCGAAGGAAAAAGAAATGTGCCTTCTTTTCCCATGTCCTGCTCCTCTCAGACACTATTCACTTCCACATTTATCACTCACCTGCCAGGTCTCAGATACCATGCTGGGTGCCACTGGGATTCCAGAAGTACCTCCCCTTGAGGGACTCACCTTCAGAGACTCGAGCAAAGAGCAACTTATACAGAAGACACAAAAAGACAAATAGAATAGCTGACGATAATGATGGCAGCATCACCAGAGCACTTGCAATGAGCTGGGTATAACGCCGAAAACGGTATACAGAGCAGTGGCGCACGCCTGTAATCCCAGAGGCTCTGGAGGCTGAGACAGGAGGATCATGAGTTCAAAGCCAGCCTCAGCAGAAACAAGACACTAAGCAACTCAGTGAGAGCCTGTCTCTAAACAAAATACAAAAGAAGGCTGGGGAGGTGGCTCAGTGGTTAAGCACACCTGGGTTTAATCCCTGGTACCAAAAAAAAGTGCACATATTTAACCTGCATGATGAACCCAAAAATAGATACCACGATGGAAAGTGGAGCTGTCAAGGGGATTGACGTTAACAGCACTAACTGGGGAGTCTGAATCCAATCCCTCCCTGCCTCTGGAAAATTGTCTCTTTCACTGACAAATAGCATTTGGGTCAAAGAGCAGGCACGTGACCCAAGTCAGACCAGAGTCCTGCTGGGAATTTTCGCCTGGGAACTGGGGGAGAATCTTCTTTCATCTCTGGCCAGGGAGCTATGAGGATAGGAGTCGGGCTCAAGCTGCTGCTAGTGGCCAGAATCTGTCTTGTAGAAACATTGCTCAGAGAGAATTAGGATGTCACAGAGAGACAAAGACACACAAACACAGTCCCTGGGAGCCTCCACTTCCAATAACTCTTCAGCCAGCTCCAACAGTCCCTCCTGCAATTCGACCCGTGAGCCACCAAGTTACCCTATTTTTCTTAATCTAGATCCAGTTGATTTTCCACCACTTGCAACCTACAGAATCCTAATCGAGGTAGGTCCCTTGCTCAAGGTCACACAGGTAATTAGGGGCTACTCTCCCAGAAGCCACCTCGCCTAAGGTGCAGTCAAGTTATGGACCACAGGCAGCAGCAGCAGCACCCTGCAGTTTTATTACCTCCAGATGTTTCCAGGAGGCCTGGTATGACCGTGGAGTTGGTGATGCTCCTCAGTCGTCCCTTCCCACTCATGTCCCTGAAGTCACATCATTATCAACAGCCACTTACAGAGAGCTGCTACATGAGGAGCCACGCTAAGCACCGTGAGCCGCATTTAATCTGCCCCGAAACCTCCTGTAGTAAGTCAGGCTGATGCTGCTCTAAAATTCAGGGGCAGAGGCTGCGGCTGGTGCTTCTGCACTAGGGCTCGTTCAGCAGGGCCCAAGGTCCTGCACCCTCCACACCACTGGGCCCTGACTGGGACTGTTTCCACCTGGGGTCTGGCTTCACCAGGTTGGTCCCCATCCTTCCCGGGGCCATGGCCACAGGCACCCAGATGAAGGCGCCCACCCAGAAGAGAAGCAGCGCAAGCTGGACCGCCAACGCCGAGACCCTCCTTGCTCTCTGCTCCCTGCTCCGCAGCCTGCAGGCCGAGGGGGCGCGGAGGGGTGTTCTGTTTGGCATTCACAGTGGTTTTTTATTTTAAAATTTAAAGGTTGGGAATTTTCAGTTAGAGACATGGATGTAAACTTTCCATTACAACTTTTTTTAAATACCTTTAAAAAAATACATTTTTAGCTTTTCTTGAAAACTTGGCCTTTCTGTGACCAGAGCCCCGTATCTGCAGGACAGAAGTGACAGATAAGCAATCAGATGGTAACAATAAACAGGGTGAGGAGCCCTTATCGGAAAGGGCTGGGACCAGAGTGGCACTGAGTAGCAGCAGCCCCCTTTGCACAGGGCAAGGGTCTCACCACCCATCTGCCGCCGGCCACCCCCTCCTTCCTGGCGGGTCCCTGTGAACATCACAGCCTGCCTGGGGACGGAAGCCCTCCACAGATGGACGGCTCTCTGCTGCCTCCCAGCAGGAGTTGAGCATTTTTTATACCTTGATTTTAGTTGTTTTTTATTTTTCTGTGACTCTAGGGATGGAACCCAGTGCCTCATTCATGCTAGGCAAGTGCTCCACCACCGAGCCCCAGCCCCGGCCCAGAGCTGGGCATTTTTTTAAGGGATGAACCTGAGGAAGTCCCTTCAACTCCAGAGCAGGCATGTCTGGCCAAGTTCTGAAGCGTCCAAGCCCAGAACCTCCTGTCCACAGGCTCCTGGCTGATGGCCTGGGGGCCCCCTCAGCACAGGTAGGTGCCCACAGCCTGGGACAGATGTCAGGCCAGCCCGGAAAGCCATGTCACAGCACGTGGCTGGGAGGGGGTGCCCTCTGGCTGGGGAGCGAGCAGCGACTCCCCCACATCCTCCTTGGGAAACCGCAGGCCTGAGAGGCCAGCAGGACGGCCCGGCCCGCCCTCCCCAGGGCACAGAGACACTCACGATGTTCATGAGGGTGAGCACGTAGTTCTGCACGTGCTCCTTGCCGTGGAAGCGCACCACCGAGTCGTCCACCGCCAGCAGCACCTCGATGCTGTAGCTGCCCGGCTTGGCATGGCGCCGCTTCCGCTCTGCATCGCCCAGCCGGGCCCCCGCCAGGCCCAGCAGGTTGGGGAGGTTGCCCAGGCCGAAGGCTGGAACGAGATGGGAAGAGAGTGAGGCTGTGCTGCTCGTGGAACTGATTTCTAAGAACATTCACCTCTCCACAGTTACGGGAGAAGCCCCGATGGGGGGCCAGGGCAGGGAGGTCACCATGTCACCACTACCCTCCCAGCAGGCACCAAGATGAGTCTGCAGGAGGGCCCCACCCTCACCAGATGGATGGATGGGGGTGGGTGATGAGTGGGGGGGCCCTGCCTTTAAGTCCACGGCCTAGGGGAGGTGGCAGAGAAGTCAGACGGGAACAATAAACCAGGTGATGATCCCTTATTGGAATGCTTGGGACCAGAGTTTTTCAGATTTTGGAATATTTGTCTAGCCTTTGCCAGTGGAGCATCCCGAATCCAAAAATCGAGTGTGACAGCTCCTGATGGCTATGCCCACCAGTGAGTGCATCAGCTCACACACACACACACACACACACACACACACACACACACTGCTAGGAAAAAAGAGGGAAAGGCCCTAAGAAGGGAGGACAAGGGGCAAGTACATTCTCCAGGGAGTGGGGAGAAATAACGGCTACCTCACGATGTGAGCAGAGTCTGGAAATTTCAATGCTGCAAATGAAATACTGGACTTGATCCTTGGGACCCTCCAGGTCTGTCCAACAGAGGCTCAGAGAAGTTACCTGATTCACCCTCAGTCACACAGCAAGTTAAAGGCAAGAGCCCAGATGTACACCTATGTCTCTCCCTCCTCCATTACCAGCCATCCCAAGGCCCACCCAGACTTCCCTCCCAGCAGTCACGTGGGGAATTAAAGGGAAAGGGAGCTGACATCAGCTATAGATGCTGGAAATGTCCCACCCACATTCTTCTATGTGTCCCTCCTCCATCCGGCCCTCAGGGCCACACCAGGGGCCCACCAGACCTGGGAGGCTCCAATGAGCCCACCCAAGATGCCCCAAGTGAATATAAAGTGGTGCAGTTGCTTTGCAAGAACAATTGGCCGTCCCCCAAAAATGTGGACCTAGACTTACCATATGACCCATTAATTGCACTCCTAGGTACATACCCAGGAGAACCGAAAGCATATGTTCACATAAAACTTGCACACAGACACTCAGAGAAGCACCGTCCTAAAAGGCGAGCGTGGAAACCATCCAACTGTGCTGGCGAATGGGCACATAAAAGGTGGTGTATTCATATAACGGAATATCACTCGGTCATAAAAATGAGTGAAGAGTTAATGCCCACCAGAAGGGGGAAGGACCTTGAAAACATGCTAAATAAAAGAAGCCAGTCACCACGGGCCACAGGTTACATGATTCCATTTGCAGGAACATCCTGAACAGGAAGTCCACAGAGATAGAAAGTTGCCAGGACCTGGAGGGGGAGGAACAGAAGGGACTACTAAAAGGGGATTTTTATGGGGTGATGGAGATGTTCTAGAATCAGAGAGGGTGACGGCTGACAACCTTGTGAATACAGGGGAAAATGAATTGAATCTTTAAGACAGTTAAAATAGTGAATTGTGATTTAATTTTTAAAAAGCAGCAGTGAGTTGGGCCTAGTGGACCTGCCTGTAATCCCAGCTACTCAGGAGGTTAAGGCAGAGGAATTGCAAGTTCCAGACCAGCCTCAGCAACTCAGCAAGACTCTCTCAAAATGAACAAATAAGAAGAGCTGGGGTTGTAGCTCCATGCCAGGGCACCCCTGGGTTCCTGGGTTCAATCCCCAGGGCCACAGATAAATAAACAAATGGTGGCAGCAGGCCTGGGGCAGGGCCAGAGCCTGGGCCACAAGACTGCACGCCCTGATCATGCCCAGTTCCCTCCTGGGGGCACTGGGGGAGGGAACGGGGTTACAGAACAGGCCCTGCTTGAAGAAGGAAAGTACTACTCAGGCAGTCCCGGGGGTCTGAGTGAGGTGCTATGCACCTAGAGGTCCAGCCAAGCGAACTCCCAACTCTGGGCTCGGGAGGGTCTGGATTTCTCACTGAGCCCTCCAGGGGAGCACTGCCCACCTCTACTTTGGGGCCTATCAAAGACGTGCGAGAGCACGTGAGTCTGAAGAGGGGTGTGTTAGCATGTGCAGGCACGAGTGCATGCAGGGTATGAGAGTGTGTGGGTGTGCTAGTGCAACCGTGTGTGTGTGTGTGCAAGTGTGGGGTTAAATGGGTATACACAGTGTGGACATGGAGGTAGGTGTAAGTGTGTGTGTACAAGTTCATCTGTGTGTGTGTGAGAGAGAGAAAGAGAGAGAGAGAGAGAAGCAGCAGCCTAGGCCATATCCTGAGTGCAAGAGGAATAGTGCCCTCTGCCCCCCAGTTCATGGGCATACATAAGACCCCTTTAAAGTCGGGGCCCAGGAGGCAGGAAGCCCCCAGGGACTCAGCTAAGCTAGCAAGCCTGTCCAGTGGAGCCCTGAGCCTCACCTCCCGCTCCCCAGCACGGGGAGAGGAGCCACAGAATGACGGGACCATGGAGCCTGAGGATGTGTCCTCCGCGACCTCCCGGCCTGCATGGGGAAGGGGCAAGCAGCACTCCAGGGCCTGGTGGACTAGGGGAGGGGCACCTGACAGGAGGGGGACAGGCAGAGATGGGGCTGCCCAGGCTGAGGGCAAGTCCTCCAAGGGCTGGCTGCTGACCTGCTCTGGGCCATTTCCTTCCCTCCAGGCTGAGAAGGAAGCCTTTCCTCTCCCTCCAGCAGGGGACATGGAGAAAGGCAGGCCCAGGCTCATGTCCCCACAGGCAGGGTGCACGCCCATGGCTGCTCTCAAATCAGGTCACAGGTGTGCAAGAAAGTCCTCTATTGTCCCTTGTGTTTCTGAGGAAGGGCCACAGATGGGCTGCCCACGTGAGTTTCAGCCTGAGGTGTTAAAGAGACACATCCCCGTTTCCCTGCACCTGGACTCCGACTCCGGAGCTCAGCACTTTGGCCACCCACCGCCAGGCCAGTGGGCAGATGAGGAGTTTCACTCCGGTTCACAGCAGTGGGGCTGGACTTCCCTCAGGCCTCTCCCCAGAAGGAGGATTTATGGTCTATTGATTCAAAATTGGCCTCGAATAAAATCCAAGGGAGATTTATGGCCTTTCCCAGCCATGGTGGGGACAGTGCCCACCGCCAGCAGCCTCCTGAGCTCCGTGCCAGTCCTCAGAGCTCGCACGCCCCAGGCCTGCAGGACCCTCTGTGGTTCCTCTTCTGAGTGACACTCAGGGAGCAGCTGGGGCTTCAAGGGAGGCACTGTATGTGGGGACAGCTGGCTTCCAGGCATTCCTTCACGGGCCCAGGCATGAGGGTGTGGCCCTCCCAGGACCAGATTCCACCCAGGTCTCGTCACCAACTCTTGGCCAAAGGGGCTTCACGAGAAAGCTGAGTGTGACCTGAAGTTGGCCACGCGCTCAGGACGAGCACCCGTCACGCTTGGTGTCATTCACTCAGCCCTGCATGGGTCCTGAGTGCCGCCCGCGTGCAGGCCCCTGTTGGCCACCAGGATGCAGGGGTGCCCACCCTGACACGCCAGTAGTTACCCCCAGGAACAAGCATGAGTGCTACCATTTATCAAGCACCTACTGTATGCCAAGTCCGTGCTGGGATTTCTGTAGTCACTCTCATCAATACACATAATATCTAGCAGGTGGACACCGATCGTCCCCACTTCCCTGGTTAGGAAAACGAGGCTCAGAGACACTCAGGAACTTGACAAAGGTCTCAGCGTAGAGAGTTGGAGGCAGGAGTTTGAAATGGGCCCCTGGAGGCTAAGCTGATCTCAATGGCCTGACATCAGGCAGCTTCCCCAAGCTCCTTGAGAACTGCCTTCCTGCAGCTTCTACAGGGTGGAATCAGTGTTAGGGGCCACTCCACCTCCCGCCTGGCTCAGAGATAGCCCTGGGGAGGAAGGCCAGCCCCTCAGCGAGTCTAGAGGACCCAGGATCAGAGTTCAGGACCTGAGTGGCTCCCGGGGCCCCCGTTCCAGCCAGTCGGAGAGGCTCCCCCAACCTACTGTGGTTTCTCACTGGGACTGCAGGTCTGTGTGGCCCAGGCTCATTTTATAGGTGGGAACACTGAGGCCAGGCACTGAGAGATGGAGGCAGAAGTTACCCCAGAAGTGCAGACAGGGTGGCGTTTGGGGCCCTGCCCACATCCTACCTTCATTGTGAAGGTCCCCGTGAGGCTCTGCCCACTCCCGCTGGACGGCTTCCCGGCGGTACACCACATGGGTCCTCCCGCTGGCCTCCGTCTCCTGCTGCCCTCGCTCCAGAGGCTCGATGAAGTAGTCGGAGCTGTCTGTGCGGATGAGGCCCGCCTGGCAGGGGTGCGGCCAGCAGGAGGGAAGAAAGAGAAGAGATGTGAAGACACGGCCCAAGACGGGCGGGCGGCCATCAGGGCCAACGGGTGGCCTTTGGCAGGCCTCCTGGCCTGGGATCCAGGACGTCGTACGTCAGGGAAGCGGAGGGAGTGGGTGGGAAGCGGAGCCAGTGGGGCCATCCCTACCTGGAGCAAAGTAGAGCCACGCTGACTGTGAGGGACTCTGATAAAATTTTATTTGAACCAAGGTTCCGTGGCTCTAAAAGTGGCAGAAGCGTGAAAGTCACAAGGGATGAGCTCACACACCAAGGGCCACGTCCCAACCCAAGGGCATCACATGGATTTGGCCTTACCAGTGAGCAGAGTGGGAAATCCTAGCAACAAAGGCCGGTCGCCCCTACGGTGGGCGGTGGCCCCCACTCCAGAGTAAAGGGCCCCTGTTTCAGACGTAAAGCACGTGTGCACTTACGCCAGGGCAGGGGGCAGCTAATGCTCCCCCATGAGAAATGATTTCACACAAGACCACACATTCTGTTTTCCATCTAATTTTTTGCATGCTTCAAAATATTCCCTTAAAAAAAAAAAAAAACAGGGGTCAGCTCTGGAAATAAAAATATAATCTTGGCCAAGCCAGGCAAATGTGATATTAGCCACCAAGGAAGGCAATAATCAAAGGGGCCAATAAAACATAGAAATAGACGTGCGTTAACATATGTGTGTTTGCCTGCAAATGCGGAGACAGGAGCACACACACACCTCGACTGTGTGAGACCAGCCCACCTACCACAGTGCGTGGAAAAGATTAGGCGTTAATAAACAAATACGTGTGGGAACTGTTCACTCATTCAACAAACATCCACTGAGTGCGTACAGCATTCGGGGCATGGGACATGTCAATTTCCATAAGTCAACTGGACCCTGGCCATTTGCATTTCTTTTTCTTTCTGCTTCTTGCTTTGCTTTGTTTTGTTGAGATGGGGGAGGTTGCCATGTTGCCAAGGCTGGCCTTGACCTCCTCGTCCTCCCATCTCGGCCTCCCAGCTGGACTACAGGTGTGCACCACCGCTCCTGGCTCTGAACACTCTTTTTAAAGCAGCCACTTTAGGCAACTCGATTGCACCCGTTTCTCCAGCTCAGCCTGTTGTGGAGCTGCATCAGAAGGTCCCTCCCAGTCCACTGAACACCCACCCCAGCAACAACCCCAGCCACAATGCCCCACGGACCCCAAAGACAAAACCAGCAGGGGCATGGACGCCTCCCATGACAGAGAGCTTGCTCCCTCCCACAACACACTCTATGAGGTCACTCCTCATATTTTACTGAGCCAAAGAGCACTCCCTACATCCTGCCCTCTATAAACAGTCTTACTGTCACCGTTATTATTGATGGTAGTGCCCTCCACTCACGTTTACACAGATCATCTCACCATCGTTGTATGCGCGGCCTGTGGCACAGGCACTAATGTGAGGCCCATTTCGTGGATGAGTAAACACGTTCAGAGAGATTAAGTAATCTGCCCAAAGTCACCCAGCAAGGGTCAGCACCAGGACAGGACCAGCTCTGTGCAGCCCTCAACCACTCTGTTCCATGACCTCAGGTCACCCCTGGCCCTGCTTCTGCCCTCGTGGGCCACTGGGCACAAGGAAGCAGGCCTTCCCTAATCCCACCTACAGATCCCGGGCCTCTGTGTGACAGGGATGTGCCTTCCTGCT